TCCAAATACAAATATAGGCTACTGGTTAAGTAGCCCAAATGGAACGTTTTCGGGTTATACAATGGTTTGATGGCCCTCTAGTTTCTAACCTTCTTAATTACACCCTGGTATCATGGCTCATCTAGAACACACATTAGGGGACGCGTGGTCTAGCAGTAGCCCGTTTACTTACTGACCTGAAAGTCGTGAGTTCGGAACCTGGGCTTGTCTGAAATACACACGGGCTAAATGACCCATCTAGATCACACCCTGGCTAAACGACCCCCTAGATTACATACTGGTCTTATGAGCCATGTCAATAGATGTTTAAATATGTATATATGTACCAGTCACAGCTTTAGTTATGTCGAAGTGTTATTCATTTTGATGGACACAAGATTGAAAGAAAACTAGACGTTTGTATATAATTTCTGCTTTTTAGACCTAATTGAACATTAAACAATGTAATCATTGGTCTAACAATACAAACTCAGTATACAGTTTAATTTTCGCGTGATTAGCCATATTTCGTGAAATATGATTTTTTTGCAACAAATTTACATGGGGCCGTACGTTGCTAGCGTCTCATTCATGGGACGTTTTTATAAAAAATCAATATTTCAAACAAAAAAAAATCTTTAGTCACTCTTTCATTCCTTTTTTTTTTTGTTTTAAAGAAATAATTGGTGTTTTTAATGTATTTTTTAACACGTTTTTATTAACTCAGCTTCGCGTGTGTTTGTTGTTAAAATTGACATCGAAAATTAGCCCACTTCTGATTGTTTTATAGATCTGAAATTTGGCATGCAGGCTACTTTCGCCTAACAATTTCAGATGCAATCATAAAAACTAGCAATTAGAGACCGTAATTAGCTTAATTTAATTACGCCCTAAGGACCATAAAATTGAGGACATGATTTCTAAAGATACCGACAAGACTGGAGGCCTATTGACACAGTTACTTCGGCCCCTATCGATGTGAGCGCGCTGGCCGTGATCGTATAGTGGTTAGTACTTCGCGTTGTGGCCGCGACAACCCAGGTTCGAATCCTGGTCGCTCAAGATTTTTAGTCCGTGTATTTATAAACACTTAGTCAAGTCATACTTAATCAAGTCATTAGATAAAGTAGAAAATAAACTATATAAAAAACTTTTTTAAAAACCACGTTTTTCATGTGTAGCAACGGACTAAAAAGGAGAAAATAAAATACTTAAAAAAAACTTTTTAAAAAACCACGTTTTTCTTGTGGACTAAAAAGTAGAAAATAACTATTTACATACATTTGATGACAAAAAACGTGGGTCGGGCAGATGGGTCGGGAAATTTGATGGTGAACGTACCCACGTTTTTTGTCATCAAATGTATGTAAATAGTTATTTTCTACTTTTTAGTCCACAAGAAAAACGTGGTTTTTTAAAAAGTTTTTTTTAAGTATTTTATTTTGTGAACTGGCAACAACAAACATGTTCTTCCAAACATTTTTTTATTGTTTGAAGTTTAATAAAATTAAGTTCAAAATCCACATGTTGTACAAAAGTTCACTCTCACAAAAAAACCACTAAACAACTTTTTTCAGACTGACCAATCATATTTTCTTTTCAAAATATTTATGTCCCTATTTATGTTTCTATTGCTATTCAGATGTACTTTTTAAAAATAATCCATTGTTTGAAATTTAACACAATCCGTCACATTTTACAATCCTAAGCTTTTTTAAAATCTTTATCCCAAGCTTTTTTTAAAATCTTTATTAAAATGTAAGTTCCTTTCAAATCAAATATGTCAATTTAGTTTAATAAAACAGATGAAAAAGGCTTTAACATCAAAGTTTATACTATCATTTCAAGTTCTCTGGCATATTCAATGGTTTGTGTAGCTATTATTTTGGCAGGGAAGGTGTGATCAGCATATTTAGCTTCATGAATAATGTGAAAAAAGTCGTTCTCTAATCTCCTATTTCTCTGAGTAGCATATTCCTTCATTGGTTTTAGGGCTTCAAAGTAAAGGATCTAGTCACTCTTTCATTCAGTGCCTAAAGCTAAATTAAACCAGTAGGCCTATCATCTATTATCAGAATATGGCTAACAGGATTTTTGTCTGCAGCAACTTGTTATAAAGGGAGTGGTTATAATTTTATGCATAATCTTCAACACGTTTTGTCTATATATATCAGGACATCTAAAGACTGAATCTGTGTTGAAGCTAATTTTAGCCAATAAAAACTAACCCTGACATTTCACCTATTCATGTATCCGAAATTCAAACTCGAGCTTGAATAGAGACCAAGTCAATCAAGAAGTAGGAGCCCTTTTTGTGTTTTTTTTTTAAAGGGAAACAACTTCGAAGTTTTCCTTCACATTTTACCACAAAAACGATTACCAAGTATTTCTCAGCCCAACTGTTCTGGCAACACACGATTTGTAACATTTCGGTGGCCTGTGTAAAGCACACAACTGCAGCAAAAATTAATAATTCAAAATGAACTTTGTAAAATGTCAAAAAAAAACAAAAACGCATTGCCGTCCATAATTGCTAATTACTATTTTATGGTTATCCTTTGGAATACCAAAAGTACCTCATCAATTATTTCACCACCTGTCTATCCCCAATATGAAAGATGAGCTATCAAATAAATGATAAAGATTGCTAACAAATTACGCTATTACTATTGCTGGAACAGCAATGTAAAGTTTTAGAAAAAAAACCCCATAAAAAAGAACAGAACACAATAGTTTTAGAGACATTTTATTTACAACCAAATACTGAACAGTCTTACTAAAATACTAGAGTAACAGTTAGTGCTTTGATTGGGTTGGTATAATCAGCCTATAAGGGAAACATCAATTTTATGATCTACAGTTTTAGATTTAGTAGGGATATTTTAAATCCAATGTTGACTTAATTTTATGATGATTTATATAAACAATAAAAAAGGTTAGAGCAGTGCTTGTAAACTTAAAATACAATAAAACATTAAAAAGCTGTTATAAATAAATTGAAGAGCATTTTTTTTTCAACAGGGATAAACTGAATTAATTTTTGTTATCGTCCAACTTGGTCAAGTTGTACAAAAAAAAACACCTTTTTACAGTTAAAATCTTTAATTAAAATTTCCACAAAAGTAAATGGAAGTTATAATTGTTTTCTTTTGACATACAACATGCATATACAATTTATATTTAACCTGTTGTAAAAATACTCTTCAAATTCCAACTTAACAAGTTTAAACAAAACTAAATGTTTGCAGAGGAAGCAAGCGAAAATTTAAAAATCTTACATTTTTTTTTGTTAAAAGGTAACAAAGTTTTGTTTTCTATTTATATACAATGGACATGAAATATTTTTGATTCTCAGAGCGACGACGAGTGATATTCTACAGGACCAACTACAATAAGCGTTTGTACAACAGCAAGACTTCTTAGTCGTCTTTCAACAGTTTTTTGTTCCATCTAAAGTTAATAAATTATCACAGATTCATTTCAGCCAAACCCCAAAAAAGTGTTGACCATTACTTTGAAGTAAAAAAAAACGAGCCAGTTTTGTAAAGTTTTGACAAAAAAAATTGTATTTTGACAATGCATTTTTAAAAAAAAAATTGATAACGTCTTGTGTTGGAGCTGGATTACATCTATTAGTATATCAATTATTTAATTAAACAAAAGAAAAACATGTACAATAGAAAAATATATAAAATCCATTACCTCCACAATAACATAAGGCGACTTAAGTCTACAATTAATGTGCTATTCTAGCCAGTGAATTACAAAACCAGCTTTAAAAAAATGTGTTGAAAAATAAACCAGGCTGTACCTGTGACCATTTTATCATGCCACTTAAGTAAACTTATAATTAAATGCTGATGAGTTATTCTTTCTATTTGTAGTAGAAGTAGAAACTGTCTAAAAAAATATGAGTGAATTTTTATTTGTACATGTGATTTGTCATAGTATATTAAAAATTGTAGGTATTAAAATGCGATGTTATAAAAAAAAATGTATACACTTTTGAAAATTTGGAATGAATTACATTACATTTTTAAAAACAAAACTTACAAAAAATGGCAGACTGATTGAGTGAGAAAATTTAGTAGACAGATAATTACATTTTTGCCTGACCATTACAATTAAAATGAAAAAAAAAATCTGTTTATGCTACACAATGGTACAAAGTTAGCCAAAAAAAAAAATTACAAACATTTAATACAAATGCAGTTTACATAAATTTAAGAAAAAATATTTGACATTGAAACATCCAATATTTCAAGTGTCTAGCACAATATAAAAAGTGACCATTCATTAATTTTGAATAACTTACATATATGGACATAAAGAGTTCATGAACTTACCTGCAAATTATAAATTATTAACTACTGCTTAAAAGATTTTAACCTACAATTGAAGTAATTTATATCATACTTTAAGTTGAGAACAGGTGAAAATTTGTTTCATAAACTGAACATAATCTAATTTAAAATACTACAAGTTAGTTTTGGCCAAAATATTTTTTATCAAACAAAGCACAATAAAAACAAATTTAAGTGTTTTCCTTTTCTCATACAAAGAGGATTATCAATATAATACAACATGATACATAAGATAAATAAAGTGCATGCAAAAAAGTATCAACATGTAATTAAAAAATTGTTCAAATGTCATTTTTTTAGACAATTGGCAATAGACACTTCTCTCTGAATTTAACGAGTTAAGGACTGGATTCATTATCAATATCTGTCAACAAGTAGGGCCATGGCAAGTACTTTCACACAGGAAAGTAATTTACAAACAATTACAGTTCTGAGAACAAAAAGAAAAACAGAAGACAAATTGCCATTTGGGTTTTATGTTAAAATAATTGTAAACTAAAAGAAAGTTTATTTCTGTAAACAAAATTTTTCCAGCTAGATTGAAAAGCTTGAGATAATTGAAAGGTTACATAAATGGCAAAAGAAAGATATTTACAAATTTGTCAAAGGACAAACAAAAACTACTTCCCCATATTTTGAAAATTTGAAATATTGAATTTAAAATTATTTTCTTTCTTAAAATTATAATTAAAACCCCTACTACAAAATTAGCTAACCATATGTAGATAAAAAGCCAAAGTGATTATCAAACAGGCTAACAAAATATTCTTTTTAGCTAGAACAGCACTAATTTCTTTAAAATAGGAATGTTTTGTTTTTTTTCTGTTTCTTTTTGACCTCATTTAAAGTAAATAAAAAAACACGTGTCTAATCTGCTGTGTCCAGCGGGGGCTGTGCTGATGTTTTACTCAGCACTAGCTACCTCAACCTCTCGGTAGTCATGGACGATGATTTTGTAAATCTCTTGATGGTCAATGTGGTTTGACAAGACTGCATAGGTCTTCTTGTCATCTATGATCTCCTTCACACTTCGCTTTACAACTGCAAATTAGAATAGGTTAAGTTTTTAAACTGCTGCCAATAGACACAAAATAGAACATACAAATTATTTCAACTTCATCAATGGAAGTACAAAGCAAATAAAATTGCAACCATTATAAACATTTTGGACAGATATTAACAAGGAAAAAAAAAAGAAGTACCAGCAGAAAAAAAATGTTTTACCTCCCCCAACAAATTTCTCTAGCCAGTAAGTAGCATACTCCCCACACTTGGAGGCGATGCGAGGGCCGAGGGTGGAGAGGTCACTCAAACGAGGTTGAACCATGTGGTAATTTTCTCTGATTACCCTGGCTTTGGGCAGGTAGTATCCAGACTGAAGAAGACAAATCATTTGGCAATCTAATTGTTTATAATATATGCATAAAAAATCTGGTCACAAAGTCTTGTATCTTTTCGCCTAGAGTAGTCACTATGGAATAGTATCTGCATCAAGGGTAATATAAAAATATAATAACTCAATGTAACACCATACTGATTAAGAGTATTTAAACTGTCATTGTCAATATTTATAATGAAACTGAACTCATTTTGAGCTTCAAATTAAAACTTACTTTAATTGCGACTATAAGTAATCTGATCCCAGTTTAATATTAAGTTGTCTTCTTTTTTAATTTAAAAATAAATAATATATTTTTTTATGATAGTGCATTCTTGTTTTACAGTTACAGTAATATATTTTAAGTATTTACCATGTTTTTTTCTTCTATTTTAATACAATTGATTTATCTACCCCTACAGGCAAAACATCAATTGCAAACCTTACATTTATTTTGTAATCAAACCTATTTTACTAACATCACCAGCCTGTAAAATACAAAACTATACAACTATACATAGAGAACAGGCCCCAAAACAAAACCTACAAATAATACTGCGGGTGTCCAGTGGGGTTTTAAAAAAAAAAATTTAAAACTTAGTTACTTTTATTAAAGGATTCTTTTCTTCTTCTTCGTTCTTAATTATTAGTGTTGAGGGTGATCGAGATTTATCTGCCAGTGGGTTTGAACTCGAGACTTTGTTCGATTTATCAACCATGAGCTTTTTTGCCGACTCAACCACGCCTCCAACACAATTAAGCGTTACGTGTCAACTGGTTATGCGCCATTGAGGCCATTGACTCCGATTTCAGCCTGCTTTTCTTTTTGGATTTGCTTCCATAGCCTTTGTCCAACCAAGAACAAACTACAAGGCAGCAGTTGTTTAATTTTGGAGTTGTCTCTCCTAGAAGAGTCGCTGTCCCCAGCTAACGAGCCTCATCTGCCCGAGGGTTCGAACTCGAGACTTTTCGGTTTAGCAACCATGAGCTTTACCGACTCGACCACGCCGACCCCCTATTGAAGCAATACATATTTTTGGAAGTATCTAATACAATGCAGTCGTACAAAAATATGTCAGAACTTGAAAAGCTTTTGTCTGACAAACTACTAAATAAATAATACAAATGACTAAACCGCCATTAGTAATTATAACCAGGAAGAGAAAAAAAGGAGTGCATAATAGAGTTAATTGTTTAATTCATCAGCATAGAGCTAGTTCCTGGTGTTTCATTTTTTTTTTATTTAGGTGCAAATATAGCAGATGGAATGATAGTGAAACAGGACAAGTGTTGTTGGATGAATGACACATAGTTTAAACATTTTATTTATAGATGCTAAGCTGTGTTGATAGACAACTGATTTAAATTTAGGATGTTTACCACAATGGCCATAGAAAATTGTACAGCTACAATGGCCATGTAATAATGTTTTCCACTATTATTTTTTAGAATTATTTGTCATTTGGTCAGTGTTAGAAAAGCATTTTAAATGTTTACCATTAGTTTGTCCACAAGGTCAATCAAATCCCTGGGAGGGGCAATGATGCTCCTGTTGAGTTTCATGACATAGCACATCCTTACCTCGCGGTCAATGATCACAGAGAAATTCTGAAAGTAACAATGGAGGGACAATGATCACAGAGAAATTCTGAAAGTAACAATGGAGGGACAATGATCACAGAGATGTTCTGAAAGTAACAATGGAGGGACAATGATCACAGAGAAATTCTGAAAGTAACAATGGAGGGACAATGGTCACAGAGAAATTCTGAAAGTAAAAATGGAGGGACAATGATCACAGAGAAATTCTGAGAGTAACAATAGTTTTTAAATATTCAACAATGTTATTAGTTGGTGGCATGTAAAACTGATACATAAATCATGTCGAAAAGGAGAAGTGAAAGCCAGTTCTAAAATGCGTTCATCTCAAAGATACTGACCAACTCTACTTCACCTCCTGAACAGACCTATGGGTTTTAAAAAGTTTACTTAAGTTAGAAAATACACCTAGCTAAGCTATGAAAGACCAGCTATTTCTTGACATTAGGGTGTGAAAGCTGACATTAGACATAATCAACTCACCCTAGCAAAGTCATGCCAGACCAGATTCTCAACTCACCCTAGCAAAGTCATGCCAGACTAGATTCTCAACTCACCCTAGCAAAGTCATGCCAGACCAGATTCTCAACTCACCCTAGCAAAGTCATAACAGACCAGATTCTCAACTCACCCTAGCAAAGTCATGCCAGACCAGATTCTCAACTCACCCTAGCAAAGTCATGCCAGACCAGATTCTCAACTCACCCTAGCAAAGTCATAACAGACCAGATTCTCAACTCACCCTAGCAAAGTCATAACAGACCAGATCCTCAACTCACCCTAGCAAAATCATGCCAGACCAGATTCTCGCGGACCTCGTCAAAGCGTGGTGTGTACAGCTCTTCATACAGGTCAACTTCTGAAACTTGGATCCTCTCCTCGACATAGTCCATGGGCTGGTCCTCCAGAGCATCTCCAATAAACCTATCCAGGCTTCTGTTGTACTGGGTGTCAATGTAAATGTTCCCACAGACTCCACTGTAAACCTGGAGAAAGGATGTTTATGTTCTAAGTTTAACATCACCATAGTTGTAGTTTTATATACAGTCAATTTAGTCTTCTATTTACTGGATGAATTTTCCCTGATGTATTCATTATGTTTAGTTTTTCAAATATTTTAAAAGAAAAGTACATCAGATAAGTACACCATAATCAGAGGAAATGCCATATAATAAGAGCTACATAAGTGTAGTCATTATACTTAATATGGCGCCCTTGTATGCATATTGATTCAAAAGTGTATTTTACATGCAAACTATGCACACTACAATGAGACAAACTGACCAGTCTGTTACAAAATACAAATAATAGTTCCATTATCAGCATCTCAATACACTATAAAACAAACCATCTCAATCTTTAGGACATTTTGTTATTAGCCGTAGTTATTAGCAATAATTAGGGTAATATCTAAATTATGTGTTTGGCATTATTGTAGCATTTTTAAAAAAATGTAAATGTAATTACATAAACTTTATTTGTTTAATTAATAATAGTTTAGTTAAAAATAGAGTGACAACTAGTAGATGACACTCAAAGATGACATTAATGAATGTTCACTAAACAGAGGAGACCTAAATGTCTGCTTGGAGAGAGCTGCAGTATCAATATTACTTGATGGTGAGATAATTAAACAGTCAATGTGAAAGGAAATAAAATAGCCATACAAATCTGTTGGTTTAATGGTGTACAAATTTAACAGAAAAATAATATGAATACATAAAGCTGTGCAAGTGATACATTTTTCTGCTATCTATAGGCAGTTATGTAAATATTTTCTTAAATTCAATGTAATCATTTTCAGAAATAAAAATGTTTTTATTATAAGGTTAAATAACGAAAAATTCAATATTTAAAATGTATATTACACACATTATTATGGAACTAAAGTATAAATCAAAATTATTCAACAATATTTTATAGCATTTTTATAAAATTCATTTCACTTCAGACAAATAGTAGCTAAACAAATTTTATTCATTAAAAAAAAAAGTATTTATATAAAATGAAACAATGGCTTAAGCAATTGTGCAATGACTGTGAGGATATTCTTCTATGTGTGATGAAATAGATAAAACCAATGCTTAATATTTTCTTGAGAATTCACAAGCATTGGAAAACAAAGTGGACTCCACGGTAGTGTTACTTAAAAAAGCAAGTGGTCACATGATGAAAATCAACATATCAAAGTAGTCATTTTATCACTTTTAGATAACTATTAGTATTGTACCAAATATACTACAATTCTATAAAAGAACTGTATGTACAAAAAAAAAACTTTTTAAAAAAGTACTCTTATCAAACAAGCTGAAAGTACACATAAACAGAAATATTTTCAACAGATAATATGAAAAGCAAACTTTTAGAATGTGTAAAGTTGGCTTGAGAGAGGCTGTGATGGCTTAAAAATAAAAGGCTATTTTAGCAGCACACAATGCATAGAACCATGTGTCATAGCACAGACTCTGAAGTTTTCAAAGAGAGAAACAATGTTTTTTTCCTACTTACTCTGTTTTCGTTAGTCTTAGGTTTAGGGAGGTAATCATTCAATTTAAATGTAGATGTTTTTCCAACTACCACCAACTGTTTTTAGGCAAGTAAGTTTTTTTAGGCAAATAATTTTTTTCTATTAAAAACAAACTCCTACAGTAAACTAAAATAGACAACTACTTCAAACAAAAGCTACATGTAACGTGTGCTATGCGAATGCAAATTATAAGAACAGTTGAATGCAAAGTATAAAACAATGTGTTTGTATATAATACATTAAAATGACATAATTATAAATTCAGTGCTCTGAAACATTTTTTTCACTCAAGTTACGCCACTTTTATATATACACATAACACACAGACAAGTTAGTGCACTTTGTTTAAAACTACTCTTTCAACCAGAGGTTCCCAAATTTTTACAAGTGACCGCTACACAATCAAAAAGATAATTTTGTTTGGTTTATATACAAATTGATGACACCCCTCCCCCCCCCCCCCCCAACATTGGGAACCTGTGCTATAAAATATTTTTAAAATTTACTTATGGAGGCAGATTTAACAATTTTACATTTACAGATTTAATAAAATTCACTTGCATTTTTAGGTACTTCTGCTATAAGCTAATTTTGGTACACATCTTTGGAAAATGTGTTGGGGAAAACGTGGTTGTCAGAGTTCTAAACAATTCAACCCAGTTTTAAATGCAAAGAAAATTAAATTATTATTTATTTAGTATCTGTATTAGAGCACTAGATTGCACCACACTTGCGAGAAATTCTAAAGACTTACAAGTGTTAGAGAGGTTGTGTTACTTTATCAAAAAACAAACTTACCCTTTTGTTAAGATGTTTGTAGAAGACTGTGGCACCAATAGCTCCACATGCCAGCACGACAAGGATGAAGATGATCAGCAGAAGGTGAATGCAGTATGTGCGTCTCTTCCTCTGGAAATAGTTCACCTGGACCTGGTTGTCTAAGGCAGCCTCCTCCTCATCTTTGAAGCTGGTCTGTCATGTAAGATAAGGAACTAGTATTAGCAGAATTACAAAACAAACAAGGTATATGAGGAACTAGTATTAGCAGAATTACAAAACAAACAAGGTATATAAGGAACTAGTATTAGCAGAATTACAAAACAAACAAGGTATATAAGGAACTAGTATTAGCAGAATTACAAAACAAACAAGGTATATAAGGAACTAGTATTAGCAGAATTACAAAACAAACATTACAAGGTATATTATGAACTAGTATTAGCAGAATTACAAAACAAATGAGGTATATAAGGAACTAGTATTAGCAGAATTACAAAACAAACAAGGTATATAAGGAACTAGTATTAGCAGAATTACAAAACAAACAAGGTATGTAAGGAACTAGTATTAGCAGAATTACAAAACAAATAAGGTAATCCTCGACTTAGATGTATGCTAAGGTTTATCTCAAACAACAATAACATTAAACACATTCACTTTTTTAGATTAATAGTAATAGTGTGCATTTTTTATTTTCAGTTATGGCATTGCATGCTTTTTTTTTATAACTGCAACGCCCTGATAAATTTTAATTACTACTATACACTTTTGTTATAACTGAGTCCAACCCCCCTCGTCCCACGGCTAGTGGGTATCTACCCCACCCCCCTCCTGCCCCACACCTGAACTGTGACAGAGTGTACTGCCGTTCCCACCGCCACCCCCCCACACCTGAACAGGGACACAATGCATCCCCGTAGCTAGTGCAGGTTAGGGCGCCCGCCCCTCCCCCGCGATGGACTGCCAGGGTCAGGCAGGGGTTAAGAAACTCAAGGGTGAAGCTTGGGGGAGAAGAAATTAGGACAGTTGAACTTTTAGCTTGGTTAGGATGTAGTCGTATTTTGTGTGTTGCAGTGTTGCAGGGCTGGCCCTAAGGCTGGCCACTATCTATGTTCAAGATTATGATGTTATCCAAGACTAAAGTATCAATCATTAAAATTAAGAAGCTGAAATAGCTGAAATTGTGTTTGCAGTCATCATCATCACCATCATATACCAACCATACAGATGACTTCGTTTCATAACAACTTTCACTCAATTTCTTATTAAATCACTTCATAATTTAACATACACTATTGCTAAAAAAAAAGATCTATATCCTTTTCACACCCATTTCAAGGTATCAACAAATTTAAGACTAGACTGGATTTAGGGACAAAAAAATTACTTAAATGATTTAAATAACTTATTTCGTGGCCACCATTACTCTCATAAAAAGAATAAAATACTTGTGTGTCATCCTTACCTACAAAAAACTAATTACAAGCTTGTCATTCTATCAAGGTTTTTTAATTTGTCTCAATACTATTTTGTATTTATATTATTTATTATGAATCAAATTATTATGAAAGCTATGTCACTGTTAAATAAGACATTAGTTATTTACTTATTATGCATCAAATCATTTGAAAGTTATGTCAATGTTAAATAGTCATATAGTAATAAAGTTTTAACGTTAAAAATGCAACAGAACTGCCCAATTAAGATGGAAGAACTTTTTTTTTCTTAGTTAGTGATATAGATGTAGTGATATTTCAATGCCTAAGTTAAGAATAGGTACAATGGGCTTTCCTGGAAAAAAACATGATTTTTCATTTCAAAACATTTTTGAAAAATAAAAACAACACATAGGCTTTCATAATATCCATAAATACAACATAATTTTAAAAAAAAGTTATTTATGTTTGTGAACACTTTGTCATTTACAGTGTGAAGGCAAAGACAACGCTGATTGGCTCCAGTTTTGAAATGTATTATGCTCCCCACTCTGCCAATGTGTTTGAGCTAATTAATTTATTATCCATATGTATTGAAAAAGAAAATGTATTCCATACAGAAAGTTTGAGTTATATTTATCTTTTATATAGTTCAAGTAAAGAATTAGCTTCCTGTTGTGATGTGAGGACAGGGTCGACAATAATCAAACACTAAGTCCGTATACAAATACAATTAACTTCTTTATTGCTTGAAAGATCAAATGAAACCTAGGCTGCCTATAAGAGAATGGACCCCCAAACTTTTATTAGGTTGTTAGTAGTATTGCAATCTCGACTAGTTTTATTAGGGATTTTGGTAAAAAAAACACTAATCATAATATAAAAATAAAAATTACATATTCTTGTAGAGCTCAACTATATGAAAACAAAACAAAAAAGATTTTTTTGTCTAGCTCAAATAGTTTTTTTAGCGAATTTTTTTGTGAGGGGTGGAATCCCCTTGCTTTTGCATTGGCCAATTGTGACAAGTCATGGTATGCCTGAATAAATTGAGCATAGTTATTTTACTTGCAGTTGTATTTTGTTCATATTTGTAGAGTTTAGCTAGAATGATATATAGAACTTGTTAATGCTGTTGAAATGAATAAAAATAATACAGAAGCATATTTTTGTGTTGGCTTCCTTCTATAACCCCAAAAAACCTGTGCTGCGCAAAATTGAAAATGTTTCTAAAGCAATGTTTTACAGTGAATGAAAGAGCTTCATAGTTAGCAATCTAAAGTAAATGACTTGAACACTGTAATATGCATATAACTGCCCCATTATATTGGGCAGGTGAAGTAGAGTCCATCTTTAAGCCATTTTGTTATAAAACATTGCTGCGCAAATATGAAAAAGTTTCTAAAGCAATGCTTTATATAAATACAGTGAATGAAAGAACTACATAGTTAGCAATCTAAAGTAAATGACTTGAACACTGTAATGTGCATATAATTGCCTTATTATTTTGGGCAGGTGAAGTAGAGGCCATTTTGTTAAAAGTGAACTGAAGTTATCTGATCAATGTTTTTATGTGTGTATTGTGTATGAATTCTGATTTTCAGCATATAAATATGACTATAAGTAAGGGTAAGTAGAACTTGAATACTTAAAATTACAGTTAGCACATAGCTAGTGTAGTGTATTCTAGCAACAGACAGGTAACCTATGTCTGACTCAGCAAAATTTTACTTCAAGCAAAACTAGAACCAGAGTTGAAAAAAATGAAAGACAGGTATATTAAAATATTTTTAAAACAACAAGTAGGAGATTTGTTTGTTTGTACATTACATAAGAATACTGTTGTTAGTGTATCAAAACTAAAAGCCGGCGGATCGGGATGAAGAAATATAACATTGGCGTCAATGGGGGCAACGTGACCTACTTACGGTGACTACTTTCAAATGAGTATTTACTAATGTCAAAATATCCAAAAATAAATATCATTTCTATAAAAATGGGATGTATCTGCTTTGGAAACTTTCATTTTTACCGCGATCTCGGCCGATACCGACAACCCTAGTTTTATGGTTAGAAATAAGGGTTAGGAGTGTGGTGGGACTAGGGTTGGGGTTAGACCTTAAGGCTTAAGAGGTGCCTTGAGATTCTGATAATCAAGCCATGTATTGTTTGTATTTTAGTTACTGACCCCACAGTCTACAGTCTACAAGTACTCTACTCTACAAGTGTACCACACACAACACACAGTTGACACAGTAACCTAACCACCTAACACTCCTTTTTACTTTTTAGAAGTTTTTACAGATGTTATTATCGGACACACTAAATTGACTTAGTTTACCATTGTCCTAGCTATTGCTGATACTTTTTTAAATAAAAAGAATTTGTTTAGGCCTAATTTTTCACCAAAATGTAGCTAGTCTCATAACGCGAGTTGAATTACCTCCCCTGACCCGCTTTTTTATAGCCACTTTCTAGTTCGTTTTTTTCGATCGCGTCTCGGCACTGTTGCTAAAAATAGCATTCGCGCAATACCATACGGGTAAATCTGTTTGGCGTCTGCTACACGTGATAGATCGTTGAATGGCCGACAAGCTGATATAAAAATTATTGCGACCGGATGCGATTTTCGTGGAAATTGAGCTAGATTTAGCAAAAGACAGCTATATTTGTGTAAAATATTATTATTTATACTTCTACTTACACAGATATTTTGATAACTGCAGTTCAGCCGTCCATTTTTCTTTTAAAATGTATCTTTAGAATTTCTGTACCTTTTGGCAATCGGTCAGGAGCATTTGCGCACTAAACCCACCCCCCTACGGCAGATCCGATTTTTTTCCCAGTGAACTCGTACTGACCTCCCACATAGCTAAGATAGTACATTGATACTGATGGGAAAGCCTCTAAATCTGTATTCCTACTAGAGATCTAGAAATAAATCTAGATCGTGGAGTTTTTATAATGACTTTTAAATTGAATGTCTCCAGTTTAAGATATTTTTTTTTCAAAACATAGCTACTTTTAGTACTATATTTAAGTATTTCAAACCCTTTTGGTAGTTTTTTCTTAAACTTAAACCTAGATTCTAGATCTAGATCTAGTGATTAGATATCTATATTTTGTACTTATAACTTGCAGGCCTATTAAAATAATAATAAAACACTTTGCTTGATAACTTCATTAGGTCATTTCATAAACACAAATGTTATAAACATATAAAAATCACAAAACCATAGGTAATATCTGAATTCTGTAGCCTACCTTACATTTAGGCTAATACTGAATTAAAAAGAAATTACATTAAGGTTTGAAATTAATACAACTTGTAATTAAGAAAGAAAGCTTCAATTCTAAATACTACAAGATATAATAACAAACAATGAAACAAATTCAAAGCTTTTTTCAACCCATTTAGCCGAAAAGATTTTTATTTTTTCCGATATTGACCAAAATAAGTTTTTAAAGCTTAGGCCCACTGTTTTTACAAACATAACTCAATTTTATTAGGCCCCTGTAAACATTAATTAAGATTCCTCTGTAGACAAAGCAATCTATTTGGCAGATAAAGTAGAGTTCATGTTTCTTGACCTCGGCATATGAAGTGATTGTCCGTGTGGTCAGCGATATTCACAGCCGCCTTTACTTTTTACCTTTAATTTCCCCAATGTATATCAGGTACCCATCAGAAATGGGTGGACTCTAATTGAATTTTATTAAACAAACATTTTGATGTAGGCCTAGATCTATAATCTATAACATTCCAAACAACATCTGTTCTGTAGAATTTACCTTTCTGCTTCCAAATGCGGTATTTTCCAATTGAAAATTCATCACAAAACATACAATAAATTATATAAATGGCATTTTATAAATTTATATAAACTATTTACTTTCACCTTGGTGTAAAAAAATGTAGGTATAAGCAAACTGATTTCAATAGTAAGAAAGAATCATGTCTTTTCTTGCTTACTAGCTTTAAAACAAGTGAATTTGACTTTTTACCTGCGTTTTTGGTCGCGTTTCTATATATTTTATTTGCGACACTAAAAAAATTATATTTAATCAACCGATTATGCTAAATTAATAAAATTGGTACTGTTGGATTGCATTTTTAAAGCTCTACAATTATATGCTATTCTTTTTATAATTTGAAGAAAATTGAATTTATATGAGACTAACTACAAAATGCATAGACACAGGTATAAAAAATCCCCCAGCACTAATATTATTACTATTATTATTGCAGATTTAAGATTGTAAATTAGAAAGAGTCTAGATCTAATTGCAGCAATTGGCAAAACAACAACTTACAACACTCAGCTCAGAAAGAGAAAAGAAGTGTAGTTTAGTGTTAGTCTTAGTTAGTGTGTAGAAGGCAAAGTGTAGGCAACCGCTACCGAACCGTCCTAACAGTGCACTTTTATACTACGAATAAATAAACTATTATATTAACTACAAAATAAAGGTCTATCATACCAAAGGTTCAGTGACAACTTCTGGCTCTGAAACATCTTTGTCGGGTTTCTTTTCACCCTGTGATGGTGTATAAATTGTCATTTTTATAACTAGAAATCTCAACTTCGGACTGCTGCTTTTCTTTTCTGGGATATATTGTACACAGCTGAAACTGATGACGTATTCCGCAAATCATAACACAGAGCTATGTCTGATTTTTAAGGGGGAAAAGGTCTAAACTATTTTCTGAAACAATTATAGATCTAGTAAACACTAAAAATAATAGATCTAGATTTCTAAAAAAAATTATGTATCTCAGTATAAAACACGAGTCTTGAAATTTAAATAATACATTAATAGTTTATACTGGCTTCAATTCTTATTTGTATATTAATATAAAAAAAAAATAAGTGTCTTAAATTGCCACATTTTGATGCTGATTTTATTGATAATTCTACCTCATGACGGTAGGATCATCGCTTTATTTTAATTTCAGTGCCCCCCCCCCCTCATCAACCGCCCACCCCACTCGAACGACAAAATATACAATTTTTATAGAAAATATATTATACTTTATCCAGTGTCTACCATCCCCCACCGGAAATTCAAGTCCATCGAACCCTGAAGTCTCAAGTGGCCGGAGAAAAAGGACTGAAAGAAACACTTCCTTAAGTCCACCCAGCTCTGATGGGTACCTGACTTACGTTGAGGAAAATAAAGGCAGTTGCGCACAGTGCTGACCACACTAAAAATACACCGTAATGCGTGTTTCTTTCAAACATTACTCGGGCTGGGGAACGAACGGGCGAAGCTGGTGGAGGAGAAGAAAAATATCAAATTTAAATATAAGCTAGATCTAATAAGCATTAACCATTCTTATATTAGCCGTTTATTACTGAAGTTTCAAAATCACCCTTTCCACAGGAGCAAAATATCTGGGGGTACAAATCTGTGGTTGTCACATTTTCTGTAACCCCCCCCCCCCCACCCTTAAGCTTTTAGCCTTTTAGCTATATATTGCATTACATTTCAATAAACTACCCCCTCCCTAAACGACCTTACAATTAATTATGTTTAAAACAGATCATGTTAAAGAAACATCATATATACACACACATAATAGATCTCGTCTAGATTCTAGCCGCTAGTGAATTTAACTTTAAGGATTTTCTGATCGGAAGTTCACGAGCGAGGTGAAGGTCGTTGGGATGGTGACGGTACAGCTTCAAAATGTCGTCTAGACAGAGTATGAAATCCAGCCAGTTGAGTATGAAATTAGACTTAACTGGCTGGAAAGCAAAATGCGCACCGTGGATGGCTCAGGATGGATCACTTTATCAAGTAACAGACGTTGCACCCGCACCATCTAAAGATTTTTTACAGTTATTTATTACTCCAGAAATGGTAAAGTATTTTTAGATCTAAATTTTTAGGCCCTAGGCCTAGGCCGCATTTGCGCGGTTCGTTCCGCGTTACGCTGAATCCTCTACCTTGGTGGCACGCGATCTAAATAAATAGACTGCCCGATTTTTTTTCGTGTTAGCAATTTAATGTTGACATAGATCTAGATCTAGATCTTAGGTCTAGTTTAAGTGTATTATAATAATAGGGTAATCTATCGTTTTGGGTACGTAAAATCGCCCGCGACTTGTAATGTGAAAACCAGGTGACTCCTTAAATTTTAATAATTATTTCACATGTTGAGGATTTATGTTTTTTAAAATATAAAAATGTTTCCTTGTTTCATTTATGTACCTGTTTTTAAACAATTGAATTAAAACTTTTCCGTAATAAATGAAGACTAGCGATGTTTCCAACAGATGCAACCATGCTCATTTACTATAGCAGCCATCTTGTTTAAGTTTTATTTTTATAAGCTTTTAGCACGAGATTCAGGGGGAAGTCACTCTATTTTACAAATGGCTGCTGTTTATATAGCAAATCTTGCTCTCAGACACTGCTGTTTAAAGTTAATTTCTGGCCTATATCGATATATTTAGCCATTGATTTAGGTTTATTATTCATTTATCTATAATATTTGACACAAACATATGACAATAAACTTCTATTAAAGCCTTGACAATGAGGTAACGTTTTCGTACATTAATAGCCGCGGGCGATTTTACGTACCCAAAACGATAGATTACCTATAATAATTATTAATTATTTCAACACCTAATAATCTAGATCTAGTCTAGTTACTAGATCTAGTCTAGTATTTGTAAAAAAAACAGTACAGTGTCAGTAGTGGGTCAGATGATAGTCCTAGATCTAGCAGCAATCTAGATAAATTAAATCACACTGCCCTTTAGTAAATAGTTTTTCCAGCTATCTAGCATGCATGATAGTAGATCTAAGTCTATATTATTAATATTAATCCTATGTGAACTTAAAAAACTTTCAATTTGCTTAAGGGGGAAGGGGGGGGAGAGAAGTGAAGACCCAGACGATCTCGTGAACTGGTTTTCACTCTATGACATATGCTTTAGGCTTTAGGCCTGCTGAATTCACAGTGACCCCGCCAGCGTGGGCCGTGGTGGGATTTTTCACTGACGTGATAGTAAACATAAGCAAGCAATCACGCCAGTGACGATGTTTGGAAATTTTATTTAAAAAAAAAGAATCACACGTCATGTTTTCAATATGAAAAAAATAAAATTTATAAAAGAAACTAGTATTGGTCGTGCTAATCCAGGGTTTGAACAGTCTACAGCCGGCACACTGTTGACTCAACCACACCGGATGTGTTGGAAAAGGAAAAAGTAAGCATTTTCAATCACAAGATGGCAAATCCAACCTGCGAGACGCGTAGTCACTTCGAAGTATTTATTACAAGAAACACTCACAATAAAATTAAATATTTATTACCCTAGGCAGAGTAGGCCCTAGGCCTACTATATTATTTTAATTTTAGGTAGGCCTAATCTATCGTTTTAGAATTTAGGTGCGTAGAATCAGCCAAGGCTAGAAATGTGAAAGAAAGTTGCCTCATTGTTATGGCTTTAATACAAGTATATTTTGATATATTTGTGTTAAATATAATAAATTTAATAGATAACTGAATAATAAGCCAAAAGCAAAATAGTAAATATGACCTATCATATTATAATCATTATAATTATATTATCAATATATATTATATAGGTCAACTAAACGGCAGTGTTTGCGACCAAGATTTGCTATTCAAACAGTGGCCATCTGTAAATTAGAGAGGTTTCTCCTAAATCTCCGGCTAAAATGTTACCAAAAAGAATTTAAGCAAGATGGCTGCTAAAGTAAATAAGCTTAGTTGCATCTGATGAAAATATAGCTAGTCTTTCTTTATTACTGAAAAGTTTTAATTTAATTGCTTAAAAACAGGTACCTGAATGAAACTTTGAAACATTTTTGTAACTTTCAAAACATAAATCCTCCTAAAAATGTGAAAAAATTACTAAACTAAAATGTAATGAGTCAGTTTTTTTTCACATTACTAGCCTCTGCTGATTTTACGTACCTAAAACGATAGATTACCTTATATTATTTTCTCTAGGCCGTAATCATAGATAGTAAATTACTAAAATTAGTAATGTCCTAATTATAGCCTAATAAGCCCTAAGAGAATATAGATCTAGATCTAGTAATATTTTATACTAGTTTGGCATATGCTGAAATGAGTGAGTGACTTTTTGCCCTCATGATGATGATACATATGAACATCAGACATAAGCATACCAACAAAGAGGCTTGACATCTATTACATGTCATTGCTTTGATCAGGGAGGAAAGGGGGTGTTGGTAAATTGTGAGATATGAAATGGTGAGGCGTTTGATTAATTGCGAGATGAAATAAAGAGATCTAGTCTGTGGGGTATTTGAAATTCTAAACATTGTCGCCCGCTTCTGGCCAGCTCAAGTTTTGTCTGCGCGAGAAAAATCCAGCAGTTTGAATGGTCACAGTCAGTGCATACAAAAACTTGAACATAGGTCATAACCTAAGCAAGAGCAGTAAGACAAAAGCGCTTGGGGTCACTGTGGGTTCATATAGTATATAGTCTTGTCAGTGGGAGAAATATTAAACCACATTTTCAATGTAAGGCCAATACCTTCCGATCTTTTACACTTTGTATTGTTGTACTCATAGAAAGCGTAGAAGTATTAGTAAACAATTTAAAAAGTGTAGTTTATTTTTTTATTAAGAAATCTATATATATAAAAAGCAATCTGTGTGTGTATGTCTGTCTTTTATGCACTACTACACCTTTCATCCAATGGCTCGAAGTCAGTAATTTTTGCAGATATCTTTGCATTTTACCCACACCCAGGGTAAATATCGGGTGGGAGTAAGATGCAAGACAAAAATGTCAAATGACCTATAGTATTTGCACCTTACTCACAATATACATCCTGTCGTTTTACAGGAGTGGAAATCAGCTAGATAAAGAATTTGCAATAAATTGCAAAATGATTGTTCTTATGTATAAGCAGAACAACAGTCCTGATAATTCAACACAATGCTAAATCATACTATTACTAAATCATACCTAATCCTATAAGAACTAGTTATAGCCACTAGCATATTTATTATTAAGTTATTTCTAAGACCATGTATTTGAGTAATATAAACAATAAAGAGTTTATTTATATGGAATACAAGAAGATAAGTAAACATAAAAGAGAGAGAACTATTTTCCTTCAGTAATTTTCAAAATATTTAGTCTTTTTATAGATAATATTATCACATTTATTTAATTGAAAACAAACGGTGTCAAGCCAAATTTCAACTATTTTTCTTATTTAATTACCTTATTATAAATTGCTGATTAGACAAAATTACCCTATAGTCCCTTGGTTTAATTTTAAAAAAAACTGAAATGTTTTGCAAATTTTCAAATAAAGATTAATATTTCTACTCCTGTGAATAAGCTAGTAATTTATTTACAAGAATTGTTGTGTTTAGCCCTGAATTGACTAAAATATCACAGCAATAACACTCACAAAATACACTGTATTAGATTAACTAAAGCTGTTGAAGAACATCGCATAGTTTAGCAGCACTTGAGTACCCTCCACCACAGAATCATTATTTTATATCTCACAAATTTTAAAATAAATCTCATAGAATAAGAAACTTCAATTTTTTTTTGTACATTTTCCCCCACATTCTTTTGAACCATTCAATTTAAAAAAAAAAAAATATTCATAAAAAACATTACTTTTGTTTTTTATGAAGATCCATTTCAGAATTTGGAGAATAATTCCTCCTACAAGAGCAGATGCGAACCAACAACCAACCGACATGAAATGCACTTACGATGAATTCCCTGATGATACAAGAATGAGAGGTATTTAACTAAGCAGCATCTTTCTGTGATAAGTTGTCAGTTGGGCCGTGTCCATAAGCTCGACAAGGGGTCCACAGGAATGATGATGTCATCAGATTGAAAGGAACATGACTGCCATAAGTCTTGAGTCTTTACAGGAAGTCCCAGATTACCTTTAACTCTGATGGGCACATTAACTCAATTTGGAGGGAGGGGGGGGGGGTAGTGGATTGTCATAATGCTGACCACATTTCTCAGACAGATATCTAAAGTCAAAGAAACTGATGAGCTCAATCCTGTTGGTCTCAAAGGGTATTTTACTTCACTCAATGTAACAAGAAAAGAAAACTTAAAAAATTAAAACAATCAGTAATATTATTATCTGTTGACTAGCCAAAACCACATATTAGTTAAGTAGTTAAATGTATAATAATGCATGCCATGTTTAAATTCTAGCATTACTATGAATATGGTTGTAGTTAACTCAAATCAATTTTGAATGTTTAAAACAAAAACAAAAATCTTTAAAATTTATTTTTATATAAAACATTTAAGGCTAGTATCAATTGAACAATAATTTATCTGAAATATTTCATTTGTTTTAAAAAGTACTTCAATTATAATGAACATGGCTATGTTTTTATCCTTGCAGGTGAAATAGCGAGGACCCTTGGGGAGCATGAGTTGCATTTTGTTGACAGACTCATCCTCGGCCACATTGACTGCCTCAACAGGCTCCCAAGGAAGGTTCTTTTAAGAATCATCTTCAATCTTGACTTGACAGCTGTTTCTAAGTTGGGACAAGTTAACAGAATGTTTAGAGAGGTACATAAACAGTAACTCCTTATCACTAAGATGGCATGGTTGAATAGTAGAGCACATGACTGCTACCTCCAAAATCTCGAGCTCAAATCTGGGTTCGTCCGTAGAATGTACCTGAGTCCTCATAGCTCTGAAGTGTACCTGATTCATGTTAAGGAAAGTAAGGGCAGCTGGGCGTAGTACTGACTACTTTATCCTGAGATCACAGAAACAGGTGAACACTACTTCACTTGCCCCATAGATCATCAGGTTTGAAAAGGAAATTGAGTTATACTTAGACTAGCTTCCCTTCTGACCTTAGCCAGGGCTAGAAAAAATTTTCTCCATAATTTACAATTTTGACACACATGCTTTGGTTTTACCCTTGTGTTGAAACTGTAAAGTATTTTGTATTTGGTAAAAATCGACCATGGTAAACAAGTTAACTTAGGAGGTTTATTATGGTGTCTTTAATTTCCTGATCCAGGGTTAGGATCTTTGTGATCTACTGTCTGACCATGCATTACCATAACTCTTGATTGACCCTATTCTTTTTCATGGAGCATAGTCTAAGTTTGCAGACAATTCTGATAAAATGGTTATTTATAGGGATATTTCTAGGCAAAATTTTTAAAAATTCGGATAATTTGATTTAAAAATTTTTTTTGCCCAAATATTAATTTGCAGGGAACAACACCTATAGCATTGCCGTTATAATCATTATGCCAATGTATTTCCTGTTAATTTACAATGCAATTAGTTCTAACTTGTTTGCAAAGTAAATGGCATCTTTGAATAAAGCAAATAAAGTTGCCACATTTTAAAGTGTCAGGTAAAATACTTTTAAATTTTTGAGAATTTAAAACAAAAATCCTCCATAATCCCATGGACCTCTTTTTGAGCTTAGGGATGCAACCACACCTCTCCATAGTACTTTCTGATGCCCATTTGTGACCCCATTAAGGGGGGGGGGTCACCCTAATTAAAAAAAAAATTGTAAAATTTACAGTCAAAACACTGTAATAATAACATAGATAGAGAAGAGGGGCAACACCAAAATGAAAAAGCTAAATTATTGGAGGGGGTGACACCCTCAGTTACGTCATCGTGTGCCACTGAACCAACTGACATCTCTGAATTGTAGAGCTTTTTGTTTTTTTTTACAATCAATGATACCTGTAACCCTATATTCAACACTAGGGGTTAAAATGTTGTTATTAATCTTGCTAAAACTGTATGAATGTATTAGATAACTAATGACCATATTCCATCATATTTATCTGGTAGCTGTGTTCCTCTGACACGGTGTGGTCTAAGATTTATATGGACCATTCAACTGCACCCATCACACAAGAGCTGTTGATGCTAACAGACAAACGAGGCTGGAAGGAAGTGTTTTTCATGAACAAGTTACAGTTGCAAGTAAGCTGGATAAAACATTTCTTTTACCTCAGTGTTCAAAGTAGGCTGAATACAAACAGTAATAGATTTAGATACTGCTCAGAGTAAGCTTAATAAAACATTTCTTTTACCTCAGTGTTCAAAATAAGCTGAATAAAAAAATAATAGATTTAGATACTGCTCAAATTTAAGCTGAATAAAACATTTCTTTTACTTCACTGCTCAAAGTAAGCTGAACAAAATAATATATTTAGGCACTGCTCAAGGTAACCTGAGCTAAACAATAATATATTTAGGCTGAATTTTTTTGTTTACATTTATACACGCAATTAAGGATATATCACTTGCCCAAGCAAAGGAATGTAGTTAAAATGTCAACTTTTTTGTTGTGAAATTATAATATTTGAATGGTCAATTTTTGCCACTAATTTTCAAAATTGGGGTAGTGCTTACTTATTGCTGCCTACAATAGAGGAAATATGCAAGGCACTAAGGAAGTAAATTCTGTTGAGCAGAAATAAGTACATTTTGTATTACCTCCGCCCTAACAAATAAAGTCTGAGATTAAATAAAATAACGCCTTCGTAACTTTTAGATGCTACAAAAGTTGCTTATTTCAATGGTCAGTTCAAATTCTTATTATTAGCTCTGATTAAAGTCTTTAATACTGCAATCTTAGATAAACCCGAGCTCTAAACCCTAAACGTAATCCCTAACCATTAAACATAATAACCCCCTAACCCTAACTAAGATATCATGTGTTAAAAAATTATATTGTTAATGCCATTTGCACAATAAACCAGCTTAAAACCTACTCTAAAAGCTGCCATACGCTAGATTCTGTTATACAGCACTTAAAACAAATAATAAATTTGCAGCATCTGTTTAGAAATTCTAAAAATATGTATGCCTATAATTAGAAGCTAAATGTACATCATCTTTGAGAAGAAAATGTATTTCCTTACCATGAGACAGTATAAGCACTTCTCAAAATTAATATGAGATACTATAAATAAGTTTCCCACTCCCTATTTTCTCATTAAAGAAAGAAATTACTGTACTTGACAATTATATTCATGCTTAATCTGAAATATATTTACAAAACAGGTATTGTTTTAGCATTTATAATTTATCATATTAATGCAATTTAAAAAAAATATTTTCTATTTAATGCAACTTAAGGTCCATTGCCTAATGATGCAACTATTTTGTAATGTCTTTTGTCTTATAATGCAACTATTTTGTAATGTCTTTTGTCTTTTAATGCAACTATTTTGTAATGTCTTTTGTCTTTTAATGCAACTATTTTGTAATGTCTTTTGTCTTTTAATGCAACTATTTTGTAATGTCTTTTGTCTATTCACAGAAAACTATTCACCGTATGACAGACAAGAAAGCAAAAAGGTTTAGATTTGGAAAACTGTTTAACAATGACATCTAAACACAACAATAATTACAATTATTACTTGATTATATATATACAAGTTTAATTGCCTTAGCTAAAGTATATTTTTATATTATTTTATATTTTGTTTTAAAAGGTCTAAAATTTGTTTGTAACACTTAAGATTCAATATAATGAAAATCAAAATTTCCAAAGAGAATATTTAATATTTAATGGTGCACAGTGACGTAAAGTCTGTGCATTTAATATCTCCAACTATTTTTTTGTAAATAATGTATAGGTTTTATTTGATGGCATTGGACACATAATAATGTGTGTAGGGGGGGGGGGGGGGGAGGAAGCAGAGTACAACACTGTTAATGTAAGGGATCTTAAAAAAGCACCTTCACTTTTGAGGTAGAATATTTTCAAATTAAGTAGTGTCATGAGGTATTGTGCAAAAACTCAGTTCAAAATAAAGTAGCGCTGGTTGGTCAACTTTCAGACTAAAATAAGTCTCTGATTTAGATTATTCTATTTGTCAAAGAACTATATAATTGACTGTGAAGTAAATGAAAACATTATTTTTAGTTGTTTTCATTATCAAAAGTAGGAAGAGAAGATAGCATACATTATTACGTTACAAATATCTATCAAACACACACACTGTATCTGATTGGTCCTCTGGAGATTTTAGTTTTATAAAGTCTCACTTGTTTGCCTTAGTTCTGACCTATCTACTTTGCTTTGTTTTGGTAGCAGATTCATAATAACTTAGCGTGCCAAAAATAGTTTTGACTTCCAGAAAAAATTCAGATATTTTATTTGGGATTTTAAATTAGTATATATTGAAACTTTATTACAATTTTTTTTAATCCACTTTTGGAGTTTTTTAATATTCGTATATTAGAGTGCTAGATCACAGTGTACTAGAATTACAAGGAATTTATTTCCTTACTCTACTAAATTCCCTTTTATTTTATTGTGTACAATTTAATTAATAATTATTTAATAATATTAAATTAATAGTTATAAATTATTGAATAATTAGATGCAGCATTATATATTCATGCCTCTTGAATAATAAATACTATTAATATGTTTAAATGTATGAATAAAACAAAAAAATAAAATATTAACCAGCTGATTGTATTTTTATTTATTTGAAATTTATTGAAAATTTTCTTATATTTTAGTGTTACATTATTTAAAAAAAAATTATTTCCAGTTATATAGGTTATTTGGTTTGAATCTTACATTTATTTTTGTTAGTTTGATTTTGAAAGCTTTTTAAAAATAGGCATTTAAAAAAATATTTTAAATTTTTTTACAGCGGTGATACTTTTTTGACATCGTAAAGGACTTCTAGAAATCTGGCTAGCAGATCACAGTTCCAGAGTCGGATGATGCAAGTGAAAGTGTTCCAAGTTGGGTGTTACAAGAAGAAATTCTCCAAAGTCAGCTGTTACAAGAACTATGAAACCATTGCTCAAACATAAATTGGCCTTTCTGTACAAATGTGGAATTGTCGACATTTAAAAATGTCTAGTTTAAAAAATACCAAGTGAAAGATATTTCAAATTAACATTTTAGTATTAACAAATGTTTCAAACATTTTTATTTCAAGTATTTTATATTTTTATTTGATGTACGGTTTACTTAAATTACATCTTTATGGTCATTTTTTGCATTTATGCTTTGTGATTATTTCAGTCTGACTAACATAGACTTATAAATGTGTTAGAGTACTTGGAACATGTACTTATTTTTTAATTTATCCATCCATATATTATATATTTATTTATTAGCATTTTAGTATTTACATACTGCTATATATTTACTCAATCCATTTTCTTTATGACTTGAGGTGATTTTTTAAAAATTATATATTTATTTGTATTAAATAAGTCAAAAAAATTTTTCTAAAGTATTTTTCTTTAGTATTATCCACAAAGTCAGAACTTTATTTTCATATCCCCACTGCCAAAATTTTTTGTATTTTTGTAAATATGATTTTTGTAGAAGCAATGAATTTTGTAGAAGCCTATGTTTCTGTGTAATAATGGGCGAAATTCCACCTCAAGAAGCTATAAATAGACAGTAATCTCTGCTTTTTTTGTATAACTCTTTTGTGTATTCAAATAGTTTTTATTTAGCCCTGTAATCTAAAAATCTGAATCTTCCACTGTGTTATAAATCTTTACTAGGATTTCTTTGGATTACTTTGAACCAAAAGGTATTTAAAAATCTAACAACTTTTTTACACTTCTGTTATAGAATATTGATTTTATTATTTTTCTGTCAAGATTTCAATTCTTAAGAAAAGAATTTTCCTCCAGTTTTCTATATTTTAAAATTATTTTTAACTTCAGCAACTGAAAGTCAATTTTTTTCTGCTATTTACAACATTTACTCTTTACATTAATAAAATGTTTGTAAAGACAATGTACTATAATAAAACAAAATAAACACAAATATTAGGTATCTTTTGAAACAATTCATTCATGAACCGCAATTTCAAATAGATTTCCAAACTTTTGATAGACCCAGACTGGGAGTTTTTTGAAACTATGCTTCTTATATATAATCTTTAATATAATATATAGATGTTTCATATATCCTGTTTTAGAGATTTTTGTCATATTTAAAATATTTAATAATAATTTTAGAATTTATATTTTTGATAATAATTTAAAAATCTTTGTTTTTGATAATTTATTTTTGTGAATAGTTTAAATGATCGTTTACTAAATATTTTTCTGTAAATTTGATGGACTGAGGATGCCATATAAAAATCTCTTACATTAGTTCTTTTAAAAAATGATTTGATGAATGTGGTATTGATTTAAATGTACATGAGATTGCTGTTATTTTTTTGTGGAATTCTCATTTTTTTGTGTATTACAATTACACAAATTTTAGTTTTGAAGACCTTGAAAATGCGGCTAAATTTTACACAGTTGTTTATTTAGCTTTGCTTATTTTACTTAATAAAATTCTTTTACTTATTCAATTCAACTAATTCTAAGAATGATCAGTTTATAATAATCTCTTGATAGTAAATGATAAATTAAAATATTTAGAAATTCAGTGCTCAGATTTTCTTACATATTTCATAAATGTACACATTCTTATTCCTTTTACAAATACATCTGGTCATTATTTTTAACATTGTGTTGAGGTTTTATGTTAGTCTGTTAATTGTTACTTCACAGAAAGTTTTGTTTTTTCCTGAAAATAAGTTCATAAATTAATTAATTAATTTTTATTATTAATTTTTATTTACTGACAAAAAATAATTCTGTTGTTTGTCAAGACAAATAATCTTGTGTCTGTGAAAAACGTTCACAGTCCTAATGATTTTCTTTCACTATGAGATAACTTACCAAAATGCCTTTTGAGTCAATGCCAAAAAAGTTTTTTTTCCTTGTTTCTGTTCTCCACCTTACCATGATCACATACTCCACCTCACCGTGATCACATACTCCACCTCACAGTTATCACATACTCCACCTCACCATGATCACATACTCCACCTCACCATAATCACATACTCCACCTTACCATGTTATCATACTCCACCTCACCATGACCACATACTCCACCTCACCATGATCACATACTCCACCTCACCATGATCACATACTCCACCTCACCGTGATCACATACTCCACCTCACAGTTATCACATACTCCACCTCACCATGATCACATACTCCACCTCACCATAATCACATACTCCACCTTACCATGGTATCATACTCCACCTCACCATGACCACATACTCCACCTCACCATGATCACATACTCCACCTCACCGTGATCACATACTCCACCTCACCGTGATCACATACTCCACCTTACCATGGTATCATACTCCACCTCACCATAACCACATACTCCACCTCACCATGATCACATACTCCACCTCACCGTGATCACATACTCCACCTCACCGTGATCACATACTCAAACTCACGGTAATCACATACTCCACCTTACCATGGTATCATACTCCACCTCACCATAACCACATACTCCACCTCACCGTGATCACATACTCCACCTCACCGTGATCACTTACTCCACCTTACCATGGTATCATACTCCACCTCACCATAACCACATACTCCACCTCACCATGATCACATACTCCACCTCACCGTAATCACATACTCCACCTCACCATGATCACATACTCCACTTCACTGTGATCACATACTCCACCTCACCATGATCACATACTCCACTTCACTGTGATCACATACTCCACCTCACCATGATCACATACTCCACCTCACCGTGATCACATACTCAAACTCACGGTAATCACATACTCCACCTCACCATGATCACATACTCCACCTCATTGTAATAACATACTCCACCTCACCATGATCACATACTCCACCTCACCGTGATCACATACTCCACCTCACCATGATCACATACTCCACTTCACTGTGATCACATACTCAAACTCACGGTAATCACATACTCCACCTCACCATGATCACATACTCCACCTCACTGTGATCACATACTCCACCTCACCGTGATCACATACTCAAACTCACGGTAATCACATACTCCACCTCACCATGATCACATACTCCACTTCACTGTGATCACATACTCCACCTCACCGTGATCACATACTCAAACTCACGGTAATCACATACTCCACCTCACCATGATCACATACTCCACCTCATTGTAATAACATACTCCACCTCACTGTGATCACATACTCCACCTCACCGTGATCACATACTCAAACTCACGGTAATCACATACTCCACCTCACCGTGATCACATACTCCACCTCACCATGATCACATACTCCACTTCACTGTGATCACATACTCAAACTCACGGTAATCACATACCCCACCTCACCATGATTACATACTCCACCTCACTGTGATCACATACTCCACCTCACCGTGATCACATACTCCACCTTACCGTGATCACATACTCCGCCTCACCATGATCACATACTCCACCTCACCATGATCACATACTCCACCTCACCGTGATCACATACTCAAACTCACGGTAATCACATACTCCACCTCACCGTGATCACATACTCCACCTTACCGTGATCACATACTCCGCCTCACCATGATCACATTCTCACCTCCACTGAACGCCTCGCCTTTACTCCTCTATTTGAATTATTCAATGGACGTAACAGCGTCAGGAATTAAAACTTTTATCCCTCGTTCTTTGACTATACACACAAAAAACAAAACCGAAAAACATTTGGATAAAAAAATATTTAAAAATATATAGGCCTATTAAACGATAATAATGTGTAAATAAAAGAAAAATATATTTTAAAATTTATTCTACACAATTTGTAAATAGGCGTGTGAACTAAACCATCTCTAATAACTGATATTTTAGGAAGCTTCTCGCATAACCTGATTCGTTCTCTTTTTGAAAAACAGATGTTTCACTTATAGCTTTTTTTTCTTCTAGAAATGGCAATTTAAGTAGTAGTAGCCTATAGCAATTTTTATTCAGATAGGTATATATTAAAGCAGTCACCCTTATTATCAAGTAGCCTACATGTTCCAACATCAGGTAAAATTGTATCCCCACCCCTGTGATTAAACTCATGTGTTTTTGCACATTAAGATGGCCCTCTGATTTCTCCGCCCCCCCCCTCCTTTCCATGTATTTATACACAATCTTTGTTGTCAGAAATGGAGTGCATACCTTGTAAAAATCCTGTATAATATGTATACATCTTTAGAGTGGGAGAAAAAGCTATTGTTGTAAATCTACAAAAGTCCTCAAATTATGCATGCTGTGGTGCACAGTGTTTCTTCCAGACTTTTTTTCTCCGGGGGGGGGGACTTGATATTTTTGGGGGTGGGGGGCGGACACAGTTCCGGGTATATGCTATTCAATAAACACACACGCACGATCCTTTACAGATAAGTTATTCACAGTGTTACTTTCAGAATTTTTTCTCGGGGGGGGGGGGGGGACACTTGATATTTTAGAGTGGTGGGGGGTGGGGTGGAGGACAAAGGTAAAATAATATATTTTCTATATAAAATTCCTCTTGTTCGAAGGGCGGTAGACTTTCCTCTGGGTGTGGGGGAGGGAAAGGTGGAGCCCCGCCAGCCGCCGCCCCCCCCCCCCCCCCTTAGAGATGCCTGGAAGAAACCTTGGTAATTCACAGAGACCAGTGCAAGGCCAGGCCGGCACATCTAGTATATAAAAAGTGCGTGCTTTCAAGTCCGAGACACATTTACGACAATGTGCGGACGAGACTGTGCGTGTTTTTCGCGTGCGTGTTTTTCCGGACACTGTTGCCACTGTGTGCGGGCGTGTTTTGTTCGTATTTTTCGCGTGCGTTTATTTCCGGACACCGTTGCGACTGTGTGTGTGCGTGAAGAAGAGTGTTTTTCGCGAGCGTGTTTTTTCCGGACATCGTATAAACTCATTTAATGAGTTAACGTGTGTCATATGATGACAGTCATAACACATGTTAACATATGAGGAAAAAACAAATCATAAAAAACGTTTTAATAACAAGCTTTTATGTACTAATGCACTAAAAAATAGAAAATAAATTATAGACTACTATTTAAATAACTATTAATAACTATTAATTAGGCATCCAATTAAGTCAAATTTAATGTGACGATGCATTGTCTTCATGTCTTGACCCACCAACCAATTACGAACCGTATCTGTCCGTTAGAAGTGCCTGCAATTTCGCTCGGACGTTTCGATCTAGATATACAGACAGACTGACGACAGAGGAAGTGAGTTAAATAAAAGTTTGTAAAAAACCCACAAGTTTTAGTTGCGAATATTCAGAAAATAAGTTTTAATTTTACACGTTTGATTCGTATTTTTAAATTTTAAAACATTATTTAACTAAATCGATTTAACTTATATCTATATTAGCAGTTTACAACAGTAAAAAATAATTTTTATTATTTTGAGTCCCACAACTTAGATTTTTCTTACATTTTTCTCATAATTATGTAGAGAATCTTAATTCCTTTTATGCACACAACCTTAATTTCCTTTTACAAATAAACTTTGTCCTTATTTTCAGTAGTATGTTGAAGTTTTATTTTTAGTCGGTTATAAATTATTAAAGTAAATTGACAGTGTGTACACACGTGAGAGTTTAATTACTGACTAAATATATTAATTATGTGGTTGGTCAAAATAATGCCTATGACAAATTATTTCTGTCTGTGAAAGGCGTTGACAGCCCTCATGATTACGTTATGAGTTTGTTGACCACATTAATCACATGAATATATTTCAAACAAAACTGCTAAGTACCCCACACATCGTAGCAGATTGTGATCCCTTCGTGACGTCACCATCCACGTCTACATGATGTCATCATACACCTCTCCATGATATTATCCACGTGTCGGATATGTTATCATCCACCTATACGTGATGTTTTGATCCATCTCTCCGTGATGTCATCCCTCACCTCTTCGTGATGTTTTGATCCTTCTCTCCGTAATGACACCCCCACCTCTCCGTAATGACACCCCCACCTCTCCGTGATGTCATCCCCCACCTCTCCGTGATGTCATCCCTCACCTCTTCGTGATGTTTTGATCCATCTCTCAGTGATGTCATCCCCCCACCTCTCCGTGATGTTTTGATTCATCTCTCCGTGATGTCACCCCCACCTCTCCGTGATGTTTTGATCATTCTCTCCGTGATGTTACCCCCCAGCTTTACGTGATGTTTTGATCCTTCTCTCCGTGATGTTACCCTCACCTTTACGTGATGTTTTGATCATTCTCTCCGTGATGTTACCCCCCAGCTTTACGTGATGTTTTGATACTTCTCTCCGTGATGTCATCCCCCCATCTCTGTGTTCATGATACCAACTACCTCTACAGTATAACAATATGACCCAGATCATCCTGCTACAAAAGACCTTATACAAGCAGACGCAGTTTAAGTTCGACTAAGGCCCTCACTCAACAGTTTACTGAGGACTGCCACTACTATGTTGCCAGAATCATTATGCAGACATCATCACAAAAATGCTTATTGACCTGAAAGCAGTAATCAGCATAAGAAGGACTCACATAGAGGTTTTACAATTTAGTCAGCACCGTAAAAGCCTCAACAGGAGCT